TCTCGTCGATGGCAGCCCGACAGCCCAGTCCCTTTCATCTTACCTCCGTGGCAAGAAAGGATACGCCCAGAAATAGTACCAAAAGCACAGACAAGCAAAAAAGCCTTCGCGAAAGCAACTCAGACACAACCTGCTAGTGCAGGTGGAACATTTGTCTTCGAATTCTAGCTCTAGGTCATTGCATTGATGCTCAGTGTGGGATCAAGGCCTCACTGAAGGTTCCCTCATATGAGCCAGTGCGCAAGCATCGAATCGACTGTCGTGATCATCAGGTCATTCATCGCTACTCCCTTCGAGCACAACGCATAAAACATGCGACGTGCACAGTGGGATTCGCGCATGAGTCTGTAGGCTCCCTGGCGTGTAATAGCCGTGCTACTCTCTTGAAAGTTGCTTTGGAAAATCTGATAGGAGTCCATTTTCGGTCTTGATGAGCAAGCCTATTATGCTTTCAGAGAAAATGGCCCCGAAAAATTGGACGATGAGATGATGATTGCTTTCGCAGGACGGGCTCTTCGCTAATCGCTTTGACGGCCTCGGAGCACTCAACAACGTCTTGTTCTGCAAGGCCAGGGAACTCTGAACCCGCCCACAATACTTCTGGCGATCTTGGCTGTACACTGTCTGCTTCCACTACAGTTAGGGACTCCTGTCGACTTCCTGGACGCTGTCTGTCGTTGGGATCGCCTGCGGAGGACGAATGTGACAGCTGCGAAAGCTCGATGTGCTGCTGCGAATCTGGCATGCTATAGCAGTCTGCAATCGTGTGGTTCCATCCAAAAGCTAGTGAGTTTGCGGGATACATCGCTCTCATCGCTCTTACCGTGTCAAGCTCGACGTCAGGGTGAACAGCACAGCCGGGACATTTGACCTCAGTCTTACCATCGTTCGCATTTTATGCCGCCAACGCAGCAAGTAAATCCTCGTGTGCCCTCAAGGTGGACGCAAGCCAGAGTGCGGTAATGCGTCTGCTGAGTACTGTCGTGCGCAAGTATCCCAGGTTGAATTCATGACAGCACAGCCCGCCCAAGTAGGATGACTTCGTGCCTCAGCCGTCGAAAAGATTATAGCACATAACAGCGACTTGTGACACAGCGAGCTCTCGCTACATGTACAACGTGGCAAGGCGCTCCCCGTGGGCCCGTCTGGTTCAGCGAAGTAGGCGTTATTGGTACGTCTGCGGAAAGAGGCAACTCTCGCGTTTGCTGAATGGCTCATGCCGGCGCAAGTTCAGCCAGCGATGCCGGTATCGAAAAGGATGCTTTCCAAGTGCATTCGATCCTCTCAAGGTTACATGTAGTAAGTGAGTCATGTTGATGATCAACACGAAAAGTGAGTCGAAAAGACGGCGCCTTTTGAAGGCCCCACTTGCCTCATTATATTAGCACCGCCATTGACGTCTTTACAACAACTTCTCTTCGACATCCACACGAACATCGAACAAATCGCACACCTCCAAACACATCTTTCTCCAAAATTTCCATTCCTCAGTCGAATTGGGAAGTCTCGTAGCAGAATCAGTAACATCACAAATCACAATCATGGCAGTCCGCGCATCGTTCGAGAATTCCAACGAGTACGTCTCCCCTCAGCTCGTGCAGAAATATATCCATTCTCGAGTCACCAGACTAACACACACCCCAGAGTTGGCGTCTTCTCCACGCTGACAAACTCTTACGCCCTCGTCGCGATCGGCGCCTCCGAAAACTTCTACTCCGTCTTCGAAGCCGAACTCCAAGACGTAATCCCCATCTGCCACTGCACAATCGCCGGCACTCGCATAATTGGTCGCCTGACAGCCGGGAACCGCCACGGTCTGCTCGTCCCCACCTCGACGACCGACCAAGAATTGCAACACCTCCGCAACAGCATCCCGGACACCGTCAAGATCCAGAGGATAGAAGAGCGGCTATCCGCGCTTGGGAATGTGATATGCGCGAACGACCACGTGGCGCTCGTGCACCCGGACTTGGAGCGGGAGACAGAGGAGATCATCGCGGATGTGCTGGGCGTGGAGGTGTTTCGCCAGACGATCGCGGATAATGTGTTGACGGGCAGTTATATGAGTTTGTCGAATCAGGGCGGCATTGTGCATCCGAAGACGAGCATACAGGATCAGGATGAGTTGTCGAGTCTGCTGCAGGTGCCGCTTGTGGCGGGGTCGGTGAATAGAGGATCCCCGGTTGTTGGGGCGGGGATGGTGGTGAACGATTGGATGGCGGTGACGGGGTTGGATACGACGGCTACGGAGCTGTCTGTGGTGGAGTCCGTGTTCAAGCTGGGTGAGGGCGCGGCGCCCGGTACGATCAACACGACGAATAAGGAGACGATGGTGGAGAGCTTTTACTAGGCATTTCTTGGCTAGCGAATGGCTTTGTGGCATTCTATCTTGAGCGCGGCGTTTGGGGATGAAGCAGTGATGTTGCTGTGCATGACCGCAGCCTGGACTAGGAGCAGTAGTTGTGAAACTGGAGCGTCTTCACCAAAGCGGATCATCAGAAGGAGAACGTGGCTTCACTATGACTAATACCTGCAGGAATGGTAACATCTGCACAAGGTAACGAAATAACACCATAAAATGTGAACCTATGCAGACCAGCTTCCGGAACGCCGGCCTTGCCACCGCAGCCGGAAACCCCCATGAACAGACGCCGGCTCCCGTCTCATGCAGGCCGAGCAGGCCTCAAAAAGTCATGCTCTCATCCGCCGGGTCGGATGTTACCCACCCGATGGTGTTTCTGTATTGTCAATAGCCGCCTTCACCATGCCAACGAAGTCATCCCATCCAGAACGACCAGGCACTGCCGCTCATTCCTCTCGCCGGCAGCATCTCCTTCATATTGTTTCGGTGGATCCAGAGGCATGTACATCTTCTAGTCCGCATCCTCCGCCTGCGGCTTCTCGTCCTCAATCGTGACGCCAGCCTTCTGCGCCGCCTTCTTCCAAGCCTCGCACTCTGTCCACGCCCTGTGGCACTCCGCCTTCAGCTTGTCGCAGCTCGAGCTTAGTTCAGCAATCGCTTGCTCAGTCAGCAGCTTCTCCAGTGTCCATTTCTCGATATTCTGTGTCTCATTTTCTTTGAGCTGTGTGATAAACTGGACGGCGCGTGCAAGAATGGAGCCCTTGTTCTTCTCGCAGCCCGGCACGATCTTGGCGAGCTCGTTGATGCCTTCGTTGATTGTTTCGCGGCGGCGACGCTCGACTGTCAGCAGATTAGCATGATGCATGGCCAAGTCGATTATCTCACACACGACATACCCTCCTTGTGGTTGTCTCGTCGAACCTTGTGCCACTCGTCCGAGCCTACTTGAGGCTTCGGTCCGCCATTGGGACCTGCTGAGCCTCCATCCTTGGGTGACGCATCGCCAGCATCTCCTTCTTGCCTCTCTTTGCTCGCGTCTGGGGCGTATTCGCCGAAGCTTGCCGTCCTGTGTATTGCGCTACTTGGCTCGCCGGACACGCTGCCCTGTCTGTCACTCTGTTCCGTAGAAGTCTGCACTTGCTGCATGAACGACTGCTCGGTGGTCTGTGGTACCGTCATGGTGTGATACTGTGCCATAGCTGCCGCTGCCGTGTCGCTGGCGCTTTGACCTACATTGTCAGCACGTTGCGCGTGCGGTACGGCGTGCTGCTGCTGGGCGTGGCTGTGCATGTGATGCTGTGGATGCTCGTCTATCGGGCCCTCGTGGCCGCCGTAGTGATGCTCCAGTGCTCCAGTGTCAAAATCGACGTGCTCCGGGTTCTCTATGACTTCGGTGTTGAAGTAATGCGGATCGAAGTCGTGGCCGCTCGGGGCGAGTGCTGGAGCGGCGCGCATGTCCGGCACGTCATGAGAGTCACGCTTCCTCTTGGCAGCAATTGCGGCCATCGTAGTAGTTGTGCTGCAGACGTGCCGTGTCTGCAATATCGCTTATCCGGGTTGCGTTGTTCTCGAGTCGCTATTGTCGCCTGCTCAGTGCATGCACCTATCCATACCGTTAGCTGCGTGTTAGTCGAGGAGCAGCGCGTGGGCAAGGTCATGCGCTCCACGCAATCAAGCAGATCAGGCATCGCGCATCCTCGCCGGCAAGGCCAACACCGTCGCATACACGAGGTGTATAGTTGCGATGGGCCTTCTGCAGCTTGGCAACGCCGGCGTTGCGATGCCTTCAGTGCTGACAGAGCAGTGCAAGTGCGCGAGCGTGTTGTCAGAGGAGGGTCGTCTCACCTCTTCGAAGCGGGCTGGTTAGTTTGCAAACACGTGATTGATGCTCAACATGTGATCTCTCGGTCTAAAGCGATCGGTCGGGTATGGAGTCGTCGTCGGTATCAAGTTGCGGGCCGCGACTGCCGATTTCGGCAACAGTCAAACAATGTGAAGCAACGCCAAGTTAGAACTCTTGAGTGCGGAATCCAGGTTCCAGATGCGCTCGATGGCATCAATTACTTCTTGGGCGATATGTACAAGGATATTCCAAGGCTATGAGGCAGGAGGATGTCATGTGCCCTGCGTTGATCAAGTGACTACCTGCCAATTAAAACCCCACGCAGCTTCCCGCTCAAAGCCTCGGCGGCGGTCACATGCAGCGGAATCCCACCCCTTTCCGTACCATCGGGGAGGAGGCTTTTGAGCGTGATCATTTCCGAGTCATGAGGTGGACAAGGTAGCGTGAGCATGTGTGCCTTTGAGTCGCGAGCGTTTATACTGGCCGCAAACGGCCACCGCGGTAATCGTGCGTTCGGGATTGACATACATGTATGTAGGTGATAGGTCGATTGAGTTCTATACAATTATATGGCATATTGAGAATGGAGTATTCCATTCATGTTGTCTTGCACCAGGAACAACTATCCGGCAGATTTCCACAACAGTCACATGTGCGTTTGATGGCCCGACTAGTGAAACGACCAGGTTCTGGAACGTACCTTACCTTCTCAAGATGCTCGATGCACTTAGGCCTCGTGAGCTTATGCTGAATATATATTAATTTGGCCACAAGGATGGGATAAGTTGAAGCTTGGGCTTCTGTGGTCTAGCGGTATGACGTGTCCTTCACAGCCTGCGTTATCAGTATGCGGACAAGGTCCCGGGTTCGAGTACGTTCTTCGGGTCTCGCAGCCCACGAATCATTAAACTGACAATATGTATAGTCCCCGGCGGAAGTAGCATTTGCCTCAAATTTTTCTTTTTCGTCTGGCTGGTCCAGCTCGGGGGCAACAGTAGGGTCATCCAGCAGCCCTGCAGCTTGATCTTCAATTTTTGCTTCTTCTTTCCCATCCAAGAGAGCGGCAAGCTGTTCATGTCGCCCTGGCGTGGTCAACCGAGCAAAACGCCACGACGATGGCGTCCCCAGCTGATCGCCAGTCGAGCAGCACTTCGTCGCCATCAGACCTCATCTTCACGCCGAACACTTTACCTAGCGCCAATTACGGGACCACTGGGATACGCCACTTGTCTTGTGACATGTGACCGTCTAGACAATACCGAAACTTCCTGCTTTGCCAAAGCACTTGGGCAGCCGAACCTATGCATATGTCCCCATGCTTGCTGTACACAATTTTCATACTCATCATCTGTCCTGTAGACCTCTATGCTCGCTTCTAATACCGTAAAACAAATCCAGAACACTGGAATCAGAAGCACAGATAACTTTTCCCCTTGACGCCCCTCCCAAGTCTCTTCCAATCACCGTGCTGCTGTCCCGTATGCTGTCGTGCGTAATTCTCCTCAACAACATTATGCTTATTAACAATGCTCAAAAACACCTGATCCAAAGTCGCTTGGCTAACTGAATAATACTCGAATCCCAACTTTTCTTTATTGCGCTCGAGTTCGGCGAAGAGTGCCGCGATACCACTTCTTGACGTTCTTGTCGAGGTCGATGTCATCTTCTTGTCAGGATCCGCGTGTACGATCTCGATGCTGTTATCTGTGGCGGACCGGTCATTAGGAACCGAAAAGCGCAGCTGGCCGTGGAAAGTCCGCTCCTCGACTACCGCGCCGGGGAACGTGCTGCGGGTGAAGAATTTGATGTCCTGCATGTTCGCTTCGCTCGTGTATGGAGCATCTCTGTGTACGAGATGGACATGATACGCATCGCCATGCTTCTTCCGCAGTTGATCGCTGGTGCCAAGTGCTAACATGCGCTTGGCCATAATACCGGCGCGGTCGGCGAGAGCATCTGCCTCCTCCATCGAGTGTGTTGTCAAGACCAGAGCTCGTCCAGACGACACAGCGCTGAGAGTGCGCCACATCACCCGCTTGGAGGCTGCATCCATACCGCTTGATGGCTCGTCTAGTAGCACCACAGACGGGTTGCCAATTAATGAAATTCCTAGCGACAGCTTGCGCTTGTTGCCGCCTGAGAGCTTTCCTGCCATTCGGGCCTTGAAAGGCGTCAAGCCGACTGCGCGCAGCACTTGCTCGACATTGTGCTCGACATCAGGTACACCGCGAGCCCGGGCATAGAACCGTAGGTGCTCGACAGCCGTCATCTGGTCCATGGCGTCAAACTGAGGGCAGACTCCCAAGTTGGCTCGAGCTGCTGCCCTCCTGGCGATGATCGACACATCTTCGATGAGGATGTCGCTCTGCTGACCGGTGGGCCGAGTATCGCCTCGAATAAGTCCAATGGTGGTACTCTTTCCTGCACCGTTGGGCCCAAGCAGCGCAAACACTTCACCCTTCGGCACCGCAAAGCTCACGTCTTGAACAGCCACGTTGGTGCCAAAGACCTTGCTGGCATGCATGACGCGCAAATCGTCTTTGCACTCTTCCGTCCTCGCGGCTTCTGCATACACCTCTGGGTCCACGTCGTCGACTTCTTCCACATCTTGAGGCTTATGCTTGGTACGTGTCACGAAGCCAGGCCTCCAGCCGCTATCAGATGCAATCAGAACTAGCATGAGGACCACAGCTTGAATGATCAAATACGCTATACATGAGCCGTAGACACTCCACGCGCCTGGATATAGAGCAAGCTCTGTCCCTCGACAAAGCGCCGAGAACTCATTGAATGTCAACAGCAGGCTTCGCAATAAGTTCGCGGCAGGAAGGAAGGCTCCAACAGTGTATGTGACAATGTTGATGTCTCGGTCCGTATCGTAGGCAGGTGCATAGGTAATTGTGCACAGATAAGCGATGAAGTACAATAGGAAGAAGACACACTGGCCTCCTGCTGCGAAAGCGAATGCTGCGAGTTGACTCGTCGTAAAAAGCGAGACGACATATGACATTAACGTTGCTGTTAGGCCGAAGAGTGTAAAGACCAGCCATAGGTAGCCTGGAGCATACCAGACGTTGGACGCGGCCGTGAAGATAATGATGGCTATGGTGGCAACGGCCAGCACAATGATGAGGTCGAACAGCAAGTACGCTGTCCAGAGCGAAGGCGCCCTGATTCCATTGCTGTAATGCAAAGCACGAACCTTGTGCAGCCTCTCTCGATTCGGGTAGAGCGCGAAGAATCCGGGATATGCACACATGGCAAGACCAAAGTAGAGGATCAGCTGCAAGCTCTTGCCGGCAGATGGTGCCCAGGGTAGATCAAAAGTTTGAAAGTTTGTAATGACCGGCACCTTAGTCAAGCTCATGTCGATGAGATTTTATATTGCGACAGCGTAGTACATGTCGTAGTTGCCTCGCCACGCGAATGTCGGAGTGTCGCCTAGGAAGAAGCCACCAGGCTCAACTCTGCTATAGTTGCGCGCAATGTAGGCGTTGAGCGCATCGAGCGTGGTGACATTGCGGAAAGGTGGTGGAGTGAGTAGCGGATAGACCTCGTTGATCAGATTCAGTGGGACCTGTCCAGCCGGGCCTTGTGGTATCCTTACCCGGACGCCTAAGAAATTGTCCAAGCCTGCAGCCGTAGAGTTGGACACTTGGTTCGTTGGTGAGCACGAAAGTGCCGAGAAATTCTTGAGAAATAGAGTGACCAGCCCTGCTGTTATGATCGGGATGAGGAGGGCTGCAAGGTATGGCCAGGCGTTGCGGCGTCCAACAGTCGCACGCTTCCGGAAGAGCACCCACGTCTGGCCTAAGTACGAAATATTCCTTCCAGTCACGAGTTGTAGCCTTTCTTCGTGGGATTTGCTTCCGGTGGCATCTGAGACTGGACTGGGTGCTCGATCTTCAGCAAGCTCCTGCTTGACCTCCTCTGCCAATTTCAAGAACACATCTTCAATAGTCGGACCGTTGACCTGGTAATCTTGCACGCCAGCCTGCTCCAACTCAGCCACGAATCGGGCCGCCGCCGCAGAATCTGCTAGCTGATACACCGTCTGATCGTGATAGACCTGCTTCGGGGTGTCTTCAAGCTGAGTCGGCAGCTCCCTCTTGTTCTCGTGATAGATTCGCACGCGATAGCCGCCGCGTAGTTCGTGTTTCAAAGCGACTGCAGAGCCATTGGCCACCCGCTTGCCTTTTGACAAGATTGAGATATCGTCGGACAGTAAGTCGGCCTCGTCCAAGAAATGCGTCGTCAGGATCATGGAACGCTTGCCCCGTTCCGCTAGAAGGACGTCCCATATCTTTCGCCTTGACAGCGGATCCAAACCAGAGCTGACCTCATCTAACATGCACAATGTAGATCCACCCGTGAGCATCATGGCGAGCTGACATTTTCGTTTTTGACCTCCAGATAGTGTGCCAGACATCGCGTTGAACTTTTGCTCGAGATCGCATCCTGCTACAAGCTGCTGCATCTCCGCCTTTGAATCTAGCTTGGTCGCTTTAAGCCGATTGAATATCCTGACGTGTTCATACACTGTCAGCTCGTCCCAGAGCACATTCTTCTGCGGACATAGTCCTATGCTACCAGTTGCGTCCATCTCGATTGTGCCACTTGTCGGCTTTTGCAGGCCCGCTAGCATGTCCAGTGTGGTGCTCTTGCCACTGCCGTTGGCGCCTAGCAGTACCAAGATCTGCCCTCGAAGCACTGACAAGTCGACATCATCAACAGCACGTACTGTCTGTCTTGGAGTCTTTGAGAACCTTGAGCCGACACGCCTGTGCCACCAGTTGGGCGGATAAAGCTTGGAGACTCCCGTAATCTTGACAGCCTCTGCGCTTTCTTCTCCATAGCGCAGCCGCCGCGCTTTTGATGCCGTGCCGTACAATGATCGCTCGATGTAGGCGCCGAGCAACGGTAAGACAATGATCTGAAGGATACTCCACAGAAAAAACAGCCAGCCCGGCATGCCCCACGGCGCGGTCGGTGCAGCAAGAGCCAAGTTTGCGGGTAAGCTCTTCTGCTGCCAGTACGCCATGTAGATGATGAACAGGGTGAAGTTCATTGGCGGAAAAAGCAGGGTCAGCACGATCGCAGCAGCAGTAGAGACAGGAGGGATGACCTGGATGATGATCGCGAGCACGATAGATACAATTGTCACAGTGATTCCTGAAAGTTGCGCGCGCCTGAAGAGACTAGCAAATGCAATACTCCAGCTCGAAAGTGCAAGACCAGAAAGTATGAAATATCCGACCATGATGCCCACATTCGAGAATGTGTAGTTCTGCAGGCCGACAATGACTGCCATGATGATCCAGCTTGGAAGGTATAGAATGTCGAAGGCCAGATGAATCGACAGGATACGAGCAGCCTGCGGTACCCATCGTCGCTTGTTTGGCATCATGGCTTCAATGAGCTGTGACATCCCGAGCTCCCGTTCCTTTGCCATCTCACCAGTGAGCTGGTAGCAGATACCAACAATGCCGACAAAGTAAGCAACAGCTAAGATGCTGATAAGACTGCCCATATACAGGCGGGTGATGTTGCGTTGGCGCTGTGCCGCAGTCTCGGAGGTATAAGGATATTCCATGATGTTGTCTGTCAAAGTGGTTCCATTCAGGCTTGCAATAGCACTGTCGACAGCATGCTGGATCGGGATCACGTATATCTCACCGTCGTTGCTATTGCTGTCGACGTATATTCTTTCGCTCAATGCGCCATCAGCTCGGATGGTATAGTTCCAAATCCCACTAGTGCCTTCGGTAGGAGAACTGATGAACTCCACGGCAGCGAAGCACGGAGACACTCCCCGAATTGAGCTGCGGCATGTTGTCAATAGTCCACTTTCTGATTCCAAGACTTGTACAGTCTTGCCTTGCGCCTCG